ATAACAAACCTAAATAGACCTTCATCATTTACTTAGGCTTTCTCATTTTTTCTGTCTATTTTGGAAAATACCTCTATTCCCATATCCTTTTAACATCTTTTACAGTCTAAGAAAGTACTTTCAAAAGGCTTTTTAGAATTAGGAAATGAACTTGGATTCTACTTCCAGCTATACCAACTCAATTTACAATATACTGATCGTTGAATTCCAGTTTGCAAAATTTATAGTTACCACCTTGCAGAAAGAATAAATGGCAATGATTAAAGAATATATGCTTTACTTTAGGGCACCATTAACTATTAGGGTCAACAGCAGCATCCTTCAGAAAACCTAATACAAAAAAGGAAGAAGAGACAAGAAAGGAGGGAGGGAGAGTGGGAAGGAGGGCACAAGGGGGAAGGAGAGAAGGAAAAACAACTACACTTAAGAAATAATTGAGGAGCCTAGTATGGTGGTCCACACACATAATTTCAATATTTCAGAGGCTGAGGCAAGTGGATCACCATGAGTCTGATCCACCTGTGTGGATCTACTGTGGATTATAGAGTGATACCTTGTTTCAATAACCAACCAACCAAATAAATACAAATATATTTTAAAAAATAATTGGGGATTACACATAGAAGATGTCATCTAATATCAGTGCTTAGCAGAAGAGCTTTTAGAACTGGCTAGCAATGAGGAATGTTGACTCTAAACACTCACTGTACAGATGGAGTACCTACAGTCAGAAAGGTTTCTGCCCCATTATATTTAAGTTTATACATACACACACACACACACACACACACACACACACACACACACACGATTTAGGTGTTATGTATACAGAAAGACCAATTACTATGTGAAACAAGAAACAAAAATATGCAAAGTTCAATGATAATCTATTACTTGAAATAATTTCAAGAGGAAATCACATGATAGAAAGTCTTTGGCAAATACATACCAAGGTTCCTGCCATATGTTAGCACTGGTCTGATCCCAAGTCTTCAAGGAAGCTGCTTTCTAGTACATATGTCAAAGACAGCTGGTTCTCTTACATCTAGTTATGCTAATGAAATGGCTTAGCCATATAGTTGCAAAATACAAATATATATATATATCTAAATGATGCAAAGTTTTACCTAAACTGTATTCTCTCACATTTTTTAGTAATGGGTAGTATTCTAAATAATTTAGCACTAAAGATGTGTCCACTTGAATGGCTTGCTTTTATATGCTGATAGATGCTTGCTTGCTTGCTCTGGGAAACTCCTGAGAAGCTGTCAAGCAGCTGTATATGGTAACAGCAATAGTACATGTGGCAAGAGGCAAAGTTCCAGAAGCAACTCGGATGGCAGACAGCCACCATCTAACCCAGAAGAGCCACTCTTCAACAGTGCACATGATTACCAATCAATCAAGAGACCAAATGGTTTCTCCAACAGAGATTCTTCCTTGTAACCAGAGAGAGAACATGAAGAGATTTTTTAAATCACCATTTTAAAGGAATTAGAGATACATGCAAGTAGGGTCATGCTGTTAAAGTCACCTTTCAGCCAGTAGTTTGTCTCATTTTCATTCTAACAACTCAGACAATACTAAGACTAGATTTTCCCCCCAATCAGAGAGATTATATGTGGAAGACTGGCACTGAATTCATACTAAAAGCTTGTTTCCGAATCAACCTGTCTGTAATTCAGGGAGGGTGTTCTAAGAATGTGGCTATTTCTTACACAGGTAAGACAGTGAAGGGTATTGCTTACCCTGACAATTTGCCGAGTACTTGTAATGAAGGCTTTTCTTATACTCAATTCAGTTCCATCAAGGTTGAATTTTCTAGGATTTGCTTCAACTATGCGTGAGCCAAAAAGTTAAGGTAAAGGAATTTCATCTATAAAAGCCTAAAAGCATCTTGTTAAACCACAGAATCACCCATATGCAAGAATAAAAACAGTCCAAACTTTCTGAGAACCGTTGACCTCACATTAAACATTCCCAAACAACACAACTATTGGAAGATCCCTTTGCTCCAAGACAAGATGACCTGGCTGGCAGGTTAGGTAATAGCCTCTGCCAGCAGGGTGGGATACAGCATACCTGTAACCCTAGCACTTGGGAGGAAGCAGGAGGATCTTGAGTTCCAGACCAATGTTGTCTCCAAAAATTGGACTGGGAATGTAGCCCTAAGCAAGGGAGGAGGGAGATGATAAGGAGATGGGACAGGTGAGGGAAGGGGATGCTACAAAATGGGAAGCAGATGGAGAGAGGGAGAAGGTGAGAGGAAGGAAAGTGACTCTGCTAACAGGGTCCACTATAAATCCATGGCTATCTGACCACAGGTAACCAGAATCCCCCTTATGCTTCTGAATACTTTTGTCTATTCTTTTTTGACTTCTGATTACTTTTTTCTTAAGATTGCTTGAGAGGAGCCTAGACTAGCCCAGAACTCTCTAGGTAGTCTGGCCTTGAATTTGTAGTGATCCCCCTGCCTCAGCCTCCCAAATGCTGGAACTGTAGAAATGAGTCGGAACACCCACCTTTTGCAAACCTTTTTCAATGGCCATACCAAAACACTTCTCCTATGCCAAGGTGTTAATCCTCCTGACTCTAAAGAAACCAAGCCCTTTTCAGGGAAATTGCTTTTGATACTTTTATCCCCTAGCCTGGTCCAAATGCTTTAGGTCAGACACTAGAAAAACTGTGCCTTTCTCTCATAGTCTGCAACTATATTGTGTTATTATTTATTATCTCTTCCTAACACAAATTCCATGAGGTGTGGAGGGTACTGTTTCATTTAATCTAATCTTAAAACCAAGGAAATGTTTGGCACTTAGAACACTCAAGAAATGGTTGCTGAATAAACAGTGAGTATGGAAATGTCTGTCCTCACTTCCTCACAATTTCCTTGAGACAAGGGTATACTACATAGCCCAGGCTGGCTTGCAAGTCATGATATAGGTTTATAACCCAGGCTGGAACTGAACTTGAGATTCTCTCGCCTCACCCTTCAAGTGCTAGAACTACAGGTACATACCACCCTACCTAGTCCTTATAATTTCCTTTTTTTTTTTACATTTACTTATTTTTATCTTTAAAAAATTGGTTAGCACACAAAGAAATGGGCTTCATTGCAACATTTCCATACATCTATGTCATCATACTTTGATCTCATTGCCCCTTCCCCATACAAACCCTTTATGCCCCCCTTTCTCACAATTTATATTCCCTAATCTGTCCTAGGGGAAAATAATCTCTCTCTGAAACTGTGTTTGATCCTGTCCCCTCACACCTTTTATTTTTAGGGAACATACTTGCCTTGTAATAACTTAAAGGTACCATGAAAAAAAGTATTTTAATTTTAAAAAAAAAGGTACAATGGTCACTAGAACAGAAATTAAACACTACATACCAACTGCCTATGAGCCTGTGCTAACCAGTGAGTGATCCTTGCAAAAATTGGTTTCCTTGATGATTTCTTCAGAGAAAAAACAAGCCAGAACTTAGACATGAAACTAGCACATCTTCCATCCTAAAGTTTTGGTTAAATATACTTTCTAGTTGAAAAACAAAGGCTGCATAATTCAGCTTCAACTGATCTCTAGTTCATCAGTCAGATCAGTGGGCTTTTTTCCCCAAAATCAAATGCATAAATTAGCATGATAGATCTGCTTTTAGTAAATATAGTTCCATGGTACAAGATGGAACTTGTATCCCACTTCAGGGGACAGTGGCATTTTAATATTACATCTTAAATAGAAGAATCTACAAAAATATCTTCTTTTGATCTCTAATTACCAATGTATAGTACTGGTCGATATACTCCTCTATGTAATGATTGGACGTAAGTGTGCATGTACGCCTGTGTGTATGCATGCCATGTACATGAGCCTGAATTTTCTGCAGTGCTGGAAGCCTGGTCATTGCATATCTGAGGGACATCCCCAGCCTAAGGGCAGGTATCATTCTAAGCTCTTTACACATCTAACTCTTGGCAATCTATAAGTTAGACACTCTTGCTATCCCCTCATCCCTCCTTCAATCTCTCCCTTCCCCCTTTCATTTTACATGTAGATTGTTTTGCCTGCCTGTATATAAGTGTACCATACATGTGCAATGCCCACGGAGGCCAGAACAAAGTGTCGTTAGTCACCATGTGGGTGCTGGGAACCAAACCTGGGTCCTCTGGATGAGCAGCCAGTGCTCTTAAACACTGAGCCATCTCCCCAGCCTCCTAGCTTTCTTTTGAAGAGGAAACTAAAGCACAGAGAAGCCTATTAATGTTGTCAAAACCGCAGTTACTGTCTGTGACTCCCAAGACTCTTGGAATCAATGAGATAACTAATGGCCAGAGCTCCTATACAGCTTCAGGACGCAAGCAGGTCACCAAGTGAATCCACCTTGTAATTACAGGTAGGAACTTCTAATGCCAGCTCCTCCTACTTCTGGGGAGGGAAAGGGTTGAATGATCAACAATGGCCAATGATCTAATCGGTTCATGTCTCTGTGATGAAGCCTCCATAATCCTCAATGGACAGGCTCAGCTGAACACATGGAAATTCCTGGAGAGCAGTGCTCCTGAAGATGGCACACTGCCCTTCTGCCAGTCCTTACCCTGTGCATCTCTCCCACATGTCTACTTTGTAATATCTTTATAATATAAGGAACATAAGTAAAGTGTTACCCTGAGTTCTGCAAGCTGCTCTAAAAAATAAAATTGGGAGGGGGAAGTCAGAAGTACAGATCAGAACCCGGGGTTTGCATCTGGCAACTGACATAGGGCTCTGAATGCTATGGGATTTGATGCTCTCTCTAGGTAGACAGTGTCACAATTGACTTAAATTGTAGAGACTTCAGCTGGTGTCTGCTAGAGAACTGTTTGGTGTGTGGGGAAAATACCTACACAGATGTGGCATCAGAAATATTTTAGTGAGTGTGAGAGAAGAGAGAGAGAGAAAAAAGATTGCTTTTACTTTTACAATGGTGGAGTGAGAATTTGAACACCAGCAGTCTGACCCCAGGGTCCAAGGGGGTGTCCATTGTCCTATGCAGGGTTTGCCATGCACTGTACAACGGGGCTATCCTACCAGATATCACTGGACAATGACTTCAAATGTGTCACAGTACAAATGAGAGGCAGATCAACCACTCTAAAACCAAACCTGCGGTCTGTGTCCACTTATCTGTGTACCCAACACCCCCATACCCGACAGCACTGAGAAGGATATTGATGGTTTCATCAAGGTCCTCCAGGTCCCACTCTATGCTACGGAGGTTGTTCCTCAGCTCATTGGTAGTCCAGTCGATTTCTTCTCTTGTTGCTGTGGAGGGGTCCTGAAGGAGCTCTGTCCATCTCTGAAACAATCCCTGGGCAGTGTTGACTGCTTTCTGTACCTCTCTGTAGTCAAGAAGGAGGGAAAGACCAGTCACACGACTCATTCCATGACTGAGTACAGTACTTAAGGCAACATCACCACCACACACCATCCTTATAACCCAACTCCCATGGACAAGGCTCTCTTGGAAAAATCCCAAAGTTCAAATACAGAGAATGAATATTATGTTCCCAGCAAATGAAGAATAAATTAGCGACTATTTAAACAACTATAACATCAAGTTTTGTTTTTTTTTAAATTGGTTATACTAAAGTAATATAAAGGAGCAATCCTATGAACTAACTAAAGGGCTCTCTGCAGTCCCACTGCTTCATTTGGTGTGATAAGGCAATCTATATTGGACAAGAAAGTCTTTCTTGAGGTGGGAAGGTAGAAGGAGGGCTACTCTTCCATAGCTTGTACTTTATAGAAGTATTTTAATTTAAGTTTTGGGGTGTGTGTGTGTGTGTGTGTGTGTGTGTGTGTGTGTGTTGAGACAGGGTCTCACTATGTAGCTTTGCTGGCCTGGAATTCACTATACAAACCAGGCTGACCTTGAGCTCACAGAGATTTTCCTGTCTCTGCCTTCTAAATACTGGAATTAAAAGCATACATCAAATTGCCCAGTTTTAATCTGAGACATTTTTAAAAATATTTTATTATTTTTATTTTATGTGTACAAGTGTATTGCCTGCATGTATATGAGTACACTCATGTTGTGCAATGCCACAGAGGTCAGAAGAGGGCTTCAGATTTCCCTGGAACTGGAGTTAAGGATGGTTTGTAGCCACCATGTGGGTGCTGGGAATTGAACCCGGGTCCTCTGCAAGAGCAGTCAGGGCTCTTAACCGCTGAGCCATCTCTCCAGCCCCAATCTGAGACATTTTTAAACCCAAAATCTCATTAGAAGATTTCTAAACATTATTAGTTTTAATATGCATCTGCTTTCCTGGATTAAACAACACTGTATTAACAGATTAAATGTTTTTCTTGTTTAGAGTGCAATATTAGGCATGCGCTCTGTGCTTAGGATGTTTTCAGACTAGCTATAGTTAGAAGGTTCTAAGAACATTCTCTACTATCAGTAGGCCTAAATCTCTGACTTTAATGTTATATTCTAACAACTGTACAGAAAAGCCACATGTTGGATTGGGATTGTTTACCCACTTACCCATGTCTATGCTGGGATTTTTGTCTGATTTGAGCTTGCAAAGAAATACATCTCTCACTTAACCTGGAGCTCCTCCATTCAACTAGGCTGATGGGCCAGTAAGCCCAGTATCTTCCGGACTCCCCCTCAACAAAGCTGAGATTATAACCCCACCCCCTTTTTAAATGTGGGTGCTGAAGATCAAACTCAGGTACTCATGCTTGGGCAGCATACACTTTACCAAAGAACTATCTCCACAGCACTGTCTATCTTAACTGTAGTAATTGTGCACATATGAATCAAACTAGGCACAACCATACACTAAATGGTGTGAATTTTATTGTAGGTAAATTATAACTTCCTAAAATTAAGAAAATTATATTTAAAGGGCAAGATTTTATAAAAAGAATCCTTACTGTTTCATGAAGGATCTCCTTATGGGAGTATAACTGACTTTTTTCACTGAGTCCTAAGTGGTAAGGAATACAACTGTGAGTTCATAAGGGACCAGTAATTTATGCTGACACTGGTGTTCACCCACTAGGGCTTTTGATCAGTGCAAATGTTAACACAGTGAAAGAGGCAACAACACTACAATACTATTATGAAGAGTCTGAGTACCAATTATGAAGGTCTGCCACCAATCCTTCTGTGGCAATATCACAAGAACCCTTGTGGTCCAGGATCAGACCTTCAGAATTGCATGGTCTTGAGGATGGAGAGATGGCTCAGCAGTTAAAAGCACTTGCTGCTTTTCTAGAGGACCCAGGTTCAGGTTCCAGAACCCACGTGAGGCAGCTCCCAACTGCCTGTAACTCTACCTCCAGGAGATTCAACCACCCTCTTCTGGCCTCTTCTGGCATACACACACACACACACACACACACACACACACACACACACACACACAAATTTAAAAAACAAAAACAAAAACAAAAAAACCTGCATTGCTTTAAGATACTGACACTCCATCTATAATTGAGCGAGTGTGCCTAGCTAGATTAGACTCTGGGAGTGTGCCAAGGTGGACTCTTGTGGCACTGAAGTCTTTTAAGTATGCTGGAATTAAAGCAGTCCTGGGCAAGCAGGAATTAGAAAATGCTGTAGAGCCATCCCAGGATAACACTCAATACACCACAGGCCTCACCAGGTACTTGGTTTATCCCATTCTAAAGCTCTTGGCTTTAAAATAGGATTCATTTCTAATTTTCATTTTATAGCATGATCACTATTTTATATTTCTAAGGCAGATGCTTGAAGAGATCCCAAAGGTGGGCACTGCTAGTGATAGTTCTGATTTTGAAAGAAAAGTCAGAGCCTACAGAATCTGCAGGAACCCTATCCTAACAGTAATGAAGAGGCCTTTCAAGACAGCAAACAGCTCCCAATCTCCTAGTAATATTTTTCAGACATGAACAGGTAATGGGAAATAACATTGGTCACAACCAAATTTTTTGATGGTGCTGGGTTTTTAAGAGTCTCACTATGTAGCCTAGGTTAACCTTGAACTCACAGTCAGTCTTCTTGCCTCAGCCTCCTGAAGGCTGGGGTTATTGTAGGTATGTGCAGCCATGTCTGGTACCAAACTTTTGGAAACTCTAGCCAGAATTTCCTAAAGAACATGAAATTTCTGCATAGTGTCAAAGGCCACAAGCTACACCTAATAATATGTAGGAGCAACCAGTGACACCCTTTCTGCTCAGAACTTCAGGCAAGCACCTAGCACTGAAGACGGGGGAGCATTTAGCATTTCAATTAAGCCAATTCATAAAACTCAAGAGCATATGTTTATACCATCCATTTGAGATCTGTGAGGTGAGAAATGCCCTTCTTCCTCCTTCACTGTTTTTCTGGAAAGGCAAGGGAGGGTGTCTCAGGATCAACCTGGGAAAGCACAACAGCTCTGTCAGCACTGTCATCTACCTGCACAGCCAGCCCTGTGAGCACTGTATCCTAAGTGAGTTGCTGGGGCAGCTGGCTCTATAGGCCACAGCTTAGGGCTGAAATCTCAATGATATTGGTCTGATATTTATTCTGGAGAGTCCAGCTTAGCTACATTCAGGGTTTTCTCCCAACTATGCAATGGGAGTGATTAAAGTCGAATACTCAAGACTTGTACCACAGCACAGATACACTTTGAATTCTTGGGGTTTGGCTTAGCAAACTTCTTGGTAAGTAGCAATCACTCACCAATAGCTTAGGAACCTTGTCTAGCATTTCACTGAAAGCTTGCTTGTTACCTTCCTATGAACTGTGGCTCTAGCTCCTTGATGGGAGAGAAGCCATGATCAAGTCACTGATGGAGAGAGATGACTTATCTCCATGAGTGAGGCAGTTTTCTGCTCCACATGCTTCCAAAGTCATCCCAAAGTCAGTCTTCTACATCATTTTGTGGACAACAGGCATCATACTTGAGAACAAGACTTTATCCCCTTACTGTTCAACAGCCCACCAAAACCAAGGGGCCTACCATGCTCTCATGAACATCAGAACGAAGGCCTCTACTGCAAGCCCTAGTATGTCTAGAGGACCACTTGTAAGACAATACTTTTTTCCTGGTAAATGAGTAAAAGTCACCAAATTCTCTAAATAAGATTCTTCTACCCCTTTTAAATAAAAGGTGGATGGCAATAGGACTGATCCTTCGAAGCCAGTTCAACATGAACTACTGCCACCTAATGCCACTAATGCCTTTTGCCACCTTTCCAAACTGTTCCACTATTGTGAACAGCCCACTGTCCCAATCAACTTAGTCTAAGAGGGGGACAGATAGTATTTCCAGATGTCAAACAATTTTTTTTTTAATTTTTATTTTACCAAGTATAAAGGGGGAAAGAGGAGATCTCAGGTAATTAAGAGTGGATATTGTTTGAATGTGTCCCCAACGTTCCCTGTGTCAGTGGTTTAGTTCTCAGTGTGGCAGTGTGGAGGTGTTTCAGAGGCAAGTCTGAGTGGGAAATGGTTAGATCACAGATGACATGACACTCAAAGGCAAAGGCAATTAAGGTAGTTCTTATAAGAGAAAGTGGTTACAAAAGAAAGTCTGACCCCTCCCTGATCTCTGTCTCCTGTCTATATGATATTTTTCCCTCTCATAAACACCAGCATCATGGTGTGATGCACTTCAGGAGGGCTCTCTCTAGAGAGCCCAATTTTGAACTTTCAGCCTCCAGAACTGTGAGCTAAATAAATCTTTCCTCTTTATAAGGTATCCACCCTCAGTTGTTGCATTAGAACAACAGAAAACTGACTAATACAGGGAGCCTTGTTTCTCAGTAGCTGTCATTCAGGTGTATTAACAAACTGAATAATTGTAGTTGCAACTTCCCTTTTGATTTTGCCTTTCTTCTTTGACCAGGCTGACAGACTCTGAATTGGCATCTGTTTCAGTTACTGTGGTTTCGTAACAATTACTCCCAAACCTGGTGTGAAACAGTATTTGTGTTCAGAGATTCTGTGGGTGAGTCATCAGTCACAGCAAGGATGACCTGTCCCAGATCCAAGTTGTCTGGGGTCTTAGCTACAGTCATAAGAACACAGGCTCCTCAGTCACTTCTCTTGATCTCAATGTGATCTCTCTGGATCCATCCAGCAGAATGGCTTCATGGTAACTAGACTTCCTACATGTCAGCCTAGACACCCTAAACTTGTGTCCTAATACAGAACGCTGCACTGGCTCTTTTTTTTTATATATATTTTATTATTTTCATTTTATGTGTATGAGTGTTATACCTGCATGTAGATAAATGCACCCGTGTCATGCAATGCCCATGGAGGACAGAAGAGGCTGTCGGATCACCTGGAACTGGAGTTACAGACAGTTGTTAGCTGCCATGTGGGTGCTAGGAATTGAACCCAGGTCTTCTGCAAGAA